TAGAATGGATTAAGGTATATTTGTGGATCTGTTGACTTTTGGTCCCTGGGGCTGGGAAGAAGAAAGCACGTGAACATTTCTGCCCTGGGACATGGGATCATACCCAGCAGTACTGACTCTCTCAGAACACCAAGTTGCAAGGTGACCTGGATTCCTATCTCCTGCTTCTGTGAAAGAAGTGGTTAACAGGTAAGGGACAGCCAAGAATAAGAAGGGAACATGCAGACTGGAGTTTCAGAGGCAGCCCTGAGTCACAGTTCTGAGTTCTGATTCTACCCCTTATTAAGCCTATCGTCTCTGGGCAAATTACTTCACCTCCTGAGCCTCAATGTTCTCATCTGCAAAATGGGGATAATGAACATATCTTCACTCAGGGCTGCTGCAAGGAGGAAATGGGGTGAGTGGCTTGGAGAAAATGTATAGCATAGTGCCTGGCTGGCACTCAATAAATCCTTGATAAACATCAGCTCTTCTGTTTATTGTCTTAAGGCTCATAGCCAGGTTACTTAAGGAGCATAGCCAAAACTTAAAGACTAAAATGAAATAGAATGAAGGGCTTGGAATGTGTCCAATCTTTTCCTATCCAGGAACTCTTTCACAGTAATATATAATGTTATAAACCCAATGGGAATTACTTAAGCCATTTTATAATTTTCTATGGTGCATGAAAAAGGAAGTGATTTTAAGTCAAATGTATTATTTTCATTTATTTCAATAATGAAATTATTGAATAATTGAAATTATTAAATCATTATTAATTTCAATTATGTGTTATTATCATAACGTTATTTTCAATCACTTAAAAAATTTCACTAACATTGATTCTAAACCATTTAAATTACATGCATGACGTGATAAATTTTGAAGTCTCTCCACTTTGAAGTGGCATATGTACTTGCTTTACTTTAAAGTCACGACAGAAGAAAATATGTGGTTGGTGAATAAATTTTAAAGTGATGTTTTATTGGGGGACCAAACGGACATTAAAATGGACTGAAAGGTAATGAGAGGACAGAAATCACTTTCATGACCTGAAGGTTTGAATTCTTGCATTTGATGCTGGAAAGCAAATTTGTAGATTTTAAAAAGAATTTTCTGTTTATTATACGGCAAGATCAAATTGATCGCAGGCCCTTATTTGCAAGCACCTCTCTGCCTATGCTTTACAAGCACAGATCACCTTTACACCCAACACAAGAAAAGAAAGTGTACATATTATTTTCTCTTTTAAACAACCTTTGAAATTTTGTGAAGTACAAGAATTTCTCTGATCAGCTATGAGGAATTTGAGCCGATAAATGCAAGTTAGGGATCTTGGGGCAAAGTTGCAAAGGAGCTATCTATCATTTTCCTTCTCCTTATCTCCTTGTAATTTTGACATTAGAGTTCCTTTTGCTTTCTGTCTTTAATCATTGGTTCATTCAGGTTATAAGTTAAATAATATGATTAAGAATAGGACCAATGTAAAACCATATATTAGCCAAAGCCACTCCAGTGGTCAAGATAAGCAGCTTGGTTGAGAGCCAGGATCATCACTACCTGCTGTTTATCCTGTTAGTAGTTCTCCTAAGAAGCTCTTCTGTTTATCCTAAGAAGCTCTCACACGAGAAAAATATATTTTAAAGAGCAAAATAGTTATTTGTTAATTAAAAAAAAATGGAGACAGGTGCCATGACCTTCTAATGATGTGAAACTTCTGGAACACCACCCTCCCTGCTGGGAAAAGCAGGTGAGAAGTAGTGGAAAGACAGTCAGATCTGGGCTTGACTCTAGTCTCTGCCAGTTACCTGCTGAGCCTCAGTGGCCTCATCTGTTAAGTGAGTATTATTAAGATGAGCCTCATGTGAAATTAGTGAAGGTCCGTGAAGTACCTCGACCCCCCTGATTCTCAGCAGGCTCCCCTCCTCTGCTTTTGGCCAGATCAGATTCCCCAGGACCCAGACAGATCAATGGAGACACACAGCAGACAGACTCAATGACTTCCGGCAGAGGCAACACCGTGAGCACAGCTGTGGTTCTCAAAGGAGAACATCAGGGTGGCCCCAACCCCCAGGGAGTGGAGGGTTTGGTGGGGGATTGGTGCGAGGGGCAGCCTCTGACTCACTGTGTGAGCGAATCACCCACCTCCCCTGCAGGGGTGGATGCGGGAGGGGGAGGAGAAGAGAAGCAGCAAAACCCACGGGATGCCCAACTCAACCCACATCTGCCCTGGGGTCTCACCAGTGTCCTGTCCGTTTGGGTGGGCTGCCAGTAGCCTTCCTGCCCATGGCTGGCTCCAGTGACACTGGGGTTCCTTCCCCATCTGATCTATCTATCCATCCATCTGCCTTTCCTTGGCTTTTGGAGTCTTTGCTGATTGGCTTGGGGAAGGATACACTCCATGCTCTATGGACCCTATCACTTCCCAGGAGACAGGGGGGGACGAGAGAATAATGGTCTTATCCTGTCCCGAGCTCTGCTGGAAGATGGTGGCCATTCCTCGAGCCTGCATTGTACCTTTGCAGGTATGAGGCACTTTTCACACCTGTTCTCCTATTTGATGCTCACCGTAATATAATATGGCTCTGGATTATGTTGGGCCTGAGTCTGAGTCTTGGCTTTGCTGGGCGCCACAGCTCCGTGAGGTCTTCAGCTGGTGTGAGCTTCCGTTTCTCACCTCTCGAGTGTGGGTAGCAACAGCATCTCCCTGGCAGGCTACTGTGAGGACTGAACCAGGTAAATTCGCAGTGCCAGCAGAATTCTGGTTTGTAGTGAATGCTCAATAAATGTTAATTTAAGAAAACAAAGGAGTTCCCTTTTAAGGCAGGTTGGTGATGTTGTTTTGCTTCACTTTTAGAGTTGGAGAAACTGGGGTTTATAAAGGTACTGCAATTCACCTGACTGACTGGTGAGGGAAATGTGGATCTTCCACGGGATTCAGTGGCTGATAGCATAGGCTCTGGAGCCCACAGAGCTGGACGTGGCCCTGGCTCCACGTTTCTTTGGCCACGTGACCTAGACTGAGTCACCATTGCCTTTGAGCCTTGGTTCCCTTCTCTGTAAGACAGGACTGCCTGTCCCCCTTCACAGAGCACCCTTGGTGTCTCCTGGCTCAGGGACTTTTTGTACGGGTTGGGGGTAGAAAGTAGAAGCTATTTAAAGATAGTCCTTCTTCCTGTCATTTGTGAGAAGTTGAGGTCAGTGAGAAGGTGAAGCTGGGGTCCTGGTGGGTGAGAGAGGGGGGCCTGCATATGCGACCCAAAGCCAAAGGGAAAGGAGAGATGGCCCCACACTAGGAGGGAGCCACTGGGCATGGGTTCCTTGAGTGTTGACGTCCTGGGCTCCGCTTCCTGGAGGTGCTCTGGGGAGATGATGGGACCTCTAGGGGGAGTTGCTGGTTCTCGCACCCTGGAAGTTGAACCCAAGGTACAGTGGTTTCCAATCCTGGCAAAGAATCCAGGCTTGACTTCAGGAGCTCAAGCCCCTTTGGACAACGGGCATCCATCATAGGAGGAGCCGGGATGGAATGAGATGCCTTCCTCACTCTCTGTCGTGCGTGTGACCCTAGGAGCAGATGTGCGAGCTTTGGGGTGGGGTAAGGGTTGGGGGTGTGGGACGCTCACTACACACCGAGATTCAATTTCTGACCAGCCCAGTAGGATGAGGGCTCGGAGTCCTACTGAATGTACTTCAGGAAGAATGAATAAAAGAACATTCTTTGCACATCTGAAAGCCTGGGGTAAAACTGATAGTTAAGACAGGATGAGGAGGGAAGAGAGTGGTGCTGGAAGGCTCTGCTAAGTTGAGTTGGGCTGCCATTCTGCCCACCTTAACCTGGCTTTGACCTGATCTTTTAACCTGGCCTTAACCAGACAAAAGGTAAAAGACATGCTTCATTGGTGGAAATTGACGCGGGGGCCCAGGGCATTTTACAGGGCCACCTCCACGGTGAGGCACAAGGTCACTGGGCACTGCCATCCAGGGCCTCCCCAGGTTCCTCCCAGCCCTCCTCTGCTTCAGCCCTGGTGTTTGTGCCCTCAAGGCACCACCCCTTTGAGTGAAAACAGCCCATGGCCTCATTATCCTCATCTCTAATCCACAGCAAGGGCAGGTGGGATGACGCTCAGAATCTCCACGGCAGCCGTTCGCTGAGCCTCTAGCAGGTCCCCACTCTGGTGCCAGGCTATCCAGTATACCCTCCCACAAAGGATGGTCTCAGGCCCAAATTTTTCCGAAGAGAGAGATGAGTGGGCAAGATGTGGAGTGCTTTGCCTGAGGCCATAGAGTTACCAGAAGCAGCACTGGGGTCACAAACACTCACAAACACTGATGCCCTGCTGAGTGGAATGTTCCCGGAGGTGGACCCCCGGTCTCCTGCACCGAGCGTGGCTCTAACTCCCCAGCTGTCCAGCGGGGCTCACTGTGCTGCTCTGTGCTTCCGCCTCCCCGGTTGTAAAACGAGAGCACTGTACTCACCGAATGATCTCCAAGGCCTCTCCCGAGCCCTAGTCTTTCGGGGACTTTCCTGGCCCACTGTTTCCTAGTTAAGTCTGCATCTTGTAAGGCAGAATAGTCTAGGGGTGATAGGTGGCTGTGGTGCTCATGTGCCTAAATTCAAGCCCAGAGTTCTTATTTATGCCTGGGTCACTTTAGGTAAGTCAGCCCCCATCTGTAAAGTGGGGAATAATGGTATTTGCTGTAGATAGTTGTTGGGAGGATTACATGAATTAAACCATGAAAGGCCCTTAGAGCAATGCCTGGCACCCAGTAAGGCCATCCACATGTTGATGATTATTGCCTTCTGTCCTGACCTCAGTGGGCATGACAGCGGAGGGGTGATTCTCGGCCCTGCCGCACCAGCCCCGAGCCCCCACCACAGGAGTCCTCATGTGACATCAGCCCCTGGCCCCAGGCAGGCCCACCCAGCTTCTTCCATCCCTGGAGGGGAGAGCTATGGTAAGACTTGGCTTTCCTGGAATGAGGAAGACACCTGACATAAAACAGCAAAAAAATCTACTCACATTTTCCTGCGGCAAGTAATCTGACCTGCTGGGTGGTAGGAGCCTCAGCGGCTGTGTGACTAAGACCTGGCCCTGGGTCCCAGCCAGATGCCCTGCTGAGCTGCTGCCTCTAACCCTTTTTCTCTTACTTTTGCTCTTTCTCACAGATGAGTGAGTGTGGGGAGGCCTGGCCTTCCGTCCCTGTCACCACTTCCCCTCTGGGTCTCCAGTGCCACAACATTTCTTGCCCCTGCAGCTGAGCTGTTCCTCCTGGGGAACTCTAGCCAGGGTGGGGCACAAGCACAGGCCCTGGAGTCAAGGGACGTGGGTTCTGATTGGCCCTCACTGTCATGACCTCAAGCAATTCATGTTAGCTTCTTTATCTGTGAAATGGTTATAATGCATCAGCCTTACATGGATCACCTAAAAGGACATTCCATTCCAATGCCTTTTGCTCACCAGACTGTGGCTTTGAAATCCAAATGCCTACAGGTGTCAGGCAGATAGCATGAATGGAAGAAGGTTGCTAGTATGGGGTAATAGGGAGTGGTGGAGACTGTGGAGAATGGGGAACACATGACCAGCCAAGGGGATGGGCATCTGAGCATGGTGGGCATCTAGCCCAGCCTTGCCACTTGGAAGTCCAGAACCAGTTGCCACATTTTCCAAGAGAGAATATAAATCCTGACTTTTATATAATGGCTCCCAATTTTAGAATGCTCGTCACAAAGTCATATCTTAAAAATGTTGTGTGGGTCAAATGAAACACCATTTTCAGTTTATGTTTGCTAGGCCACAGGCTCCCTGAATGCAGGTTGTATGTCCCTAATGCACAGTCCTGGGCTCAGGAAATCTGCAAGTATGTACCTGATACAGTTCAGTGTTTTCTGAATATTTAGATTATTTATTGAAAATCTACTTTTTCCCAGGTATACAAGGTAGATATGATAAAATTCCTGCCCTTCTAGGCTAATGGCCTTTGATTATTTCCTCAGATCTTTTTCCTTATTGCCCTCCACATCCTGGATCCCAAGGCTCAGATCTGGAGTTCTCAAGGAGGGAGCTTTTGCCCCCAAGGAGAACTGCCAGGTTCAATGAAAAAAAGGATGGTAATATTTGAGACACACACACTAAAAAATTATTTGTAGTTTATCTGAAGTTGAAATTTTTTTTTATTTAGGTATCACTGATATACACTCTTATGAAGGTTTCACATGAAAAACACTGTGGTTACTACATTCACCCATATTATCAAGTCCCCCCATGCCCCATTGCAGTCATTGGAGTTGAAATTTGAGCATTCTATATCTTATCCTACCCAGAGGAGATGTCAGGCAATGTTACAACTGGGAGGAGATGCTATGGACATCTGGTGTGTAGAGGTCAACAGGGCTGCACAACATCCCACAGGGCAGAGGACATGAGGAATAACGCAGCTCACGATGTTAACAGGGCAGGGTTAGACAAGGGCTCTAGACCCCGCCCAAGTCCCTTCAGAGCAAACTTCACACTCAGGGAGGCCTTCAGTCTGGTAATTAATCCCTTGGGGAGAGGACACAGTGACAGCCCAGCCCTCCTGCCTCTCCCATTAGTAAGTAATTGACAGCAAAGAATGGGGCAGGGAGCCCAGGGCATCAAGGAAGAGGAGAAAGGGCACAAGCAAAGGAGACAAGAGGGAGGAAAAGGAGGTATCCGGGGAGTGGGAGCCACCCGCAGCTCCTGTCAGACCTCTGTCTGGACCAGACTGGGAGAACCCTGTGGGGTGAACTGGCAGAGATCCAGCAGATGCTTCCACGATCCTGAATCCTGGGCCCCTGGCCTTGAAGCCCCACCATGAAGAGGAGTGAGGTCACCCCCCCGAACCTGCCTCTCTATCTCAGCCCAACGTGTATAATGGCAGACGGAATGCATGACAGATGAATGGGTGAATGAATGACTGCAAAGAAGGAAGTTACTCACAGGCTAAAAGGGAGAGAACACTGAGGATCTGGGGTCTAGTGTGGTCTATGCTACTGCCTGGTCGTAGGACCAGTTACTTCTTCAGTTGGCCTCAATTTCCCCATTCCCCAAATAAGGAAGTTGGAGGTAATAGATCCTTCTATAGGTTCCTCATGCATCCAAATCGCCCCAGAGGGCTCGTTAAAACACAGGTTGCTGCCCTCCCACCCCCAATTTCCAACTAAAGTATTCTGGGGCCTGAGAATCTGCATTCCTAACAAGTTCCCAGGTGCTGGTGCTCGGACACACCTTGGGTAGCACTGGGCAAGACGAAGGATAAGAGCTCTTTCTTGCTCCAAGTCCCCTGGGAGCCCGAGGCAGGGCTGATGGGGCTCACACAGGAAGTGCACCCTCTTTCCCCCAAGGGCGGGCTGGGCGCACCTGCCGGAAGCTAGCTTTCTCAGTTCCTGGCTGCCAGCCCTCCTCACCGGCCTTTGCTCTGGGAGACGCTGCCACCTACTGGATGCATCTACCGTGCTCCGTGCTGGGTCCAGAGCGTCGCCTCTTTAGGCCTGGTTGCAGGAGGAACATTCAGGGTCCTGTCCTTCCTATAGGGGCCCCAGGGAAGCAGCCTTAGTAAGATCCGGGCGCTCTGATCCCTTTAGATGGATGAGTCAGGTTCCAGTATGGATAGTAGTGCCTGAATTAACCTGGGAAAACAAAAAGAAAATGTTCCTGCAAGCCTACAGGGAATAACCCATTTCCACCAAACATTGCTATTTTCTGCTTTAAAAGCCTGACATACAGTTATATTAATTTACTAAATTTATATTATTTACTATCTTAATTTGGTCAATTGCTTACTTCATTAAATTTATTAAATGTAGGTGGCGATACTTATATGGAAAGGATTTGTGTATCTTTACAAATTTTTACTATAGGCACTCCTGCAGGTGGTTCCATAAGGCATGTTTAAGATGCGGTGATTCATCTATTCAATTAGGCAAAAAAAAAGAAAAAAAAAAAGAAACCAATAGCATCATTGGCGAGTGTGAGATGAGACTGACACCCTTGTACAGTTAGTGGGAGTGTAACCTGGAAGTGAGCTGACACTGTTTTCCAGAGTGGGATAGTGGTTTGAGGACAATGTCTGGAACTGGGCTGAAACCTAGGTTTAAATTCTGCTTGGGGTGAATCTATGTTGCCTCGGTCAAAGCACTTTCTTTCTGTGGTCTCAATTCCTTTGACCAGAAATGAGGAACCCAGAGCCGGTCAATGTTTCTTAAACTTTTAACCTCATCAGACTCACTAGGAGAGCTTGTGGAAGGACAGAGATGCTGATTCAGAGATGAGCCGGAGGGCCCATATGTCTAACTAACTCCCTGGTCGCCTGCACAAACAGGTGACCTTGGCCACACCCCTTGGAGCCTTAGCTTCTTTACCTGGGAATCTTCAAGTCTAATTGTAGCTATTATGTGAGATATTGTGTATAAAGCTATTGCTGCTCTCATGAGTCTTAAACATGTTCATTGCATTTGAATCAGTAATTAGCTTGTAGAAATCTATTTTAAGAAATGAATCATGTGATCAAAGATGTAACAGTAGTAGTATTTATGATAGTGAGGATCAGGAGACATTCTAAACAGCCACGAGGAATTATTAATAAATTATGGTACATATTAAGAGAACAGAGCAAATTGAAAGACTGTTTTTAAATGAGCAAAAAACGTGGACATCATTACATATTCAATGTTAAACATATGAAAAGGTGGGCATAGGGGTGGGAGGTGGGGATCTCGGTAGGAGGGTATGGTCCCCTTGGGCCTTATTGTAGAGCCACTGGGCCCTGGGGCCTTATTTCCATTTCTCAAAGATACCACACTTTCTCCAACCTCAGGGCCTTCAATGCTGTTCCCCCTCACTAGAATGCTCTTCCCTCTGAATTCATCCTTTAGAAGTCAGCTACAATGGCATTGCCTCCTCTAGGAAGCCCTCCCTGACTACTCAGGCAAGGTTAAGCGCCACCTGTGTAAGCATGTCTCACATTTATAATTCTTACCCTTCCCTTTGGATGACTGTAAACCCCGCAACAGCACAGGTCCACCTATCATGTTCACTGACGTACCCTCTGCAACTGGCCACAGCATCTGGCACATAGTAAATGCTCGATTAATAACTATGCATGAGTAGATTTTGATGAGATCACTCAAGTTTTATTTGGGAGACAAATTGAAATCAGGAGAAAATTTGATGAGCATGTTAATCCTTAGGGGTTGCTGTCCTTAAGCTGTGCAGACCTTGGGTAAACCACTTCCGTTTTCTGGACCTTAATCTCCTCCTCTGGAAAATGAGTATGATTGGTTTTCCAAGAATGGTGGAGAGACTTTTGTCTTGAGTGCCAAGGCTGGTTTTAGGCGATTGTTGTGAGAGCACAGTGCCTAGGAGGACGCTGAAACTGAGTCTAAGAGGGTCTAAGAGCAGGGGGTCTAAGTGGTAGTTTGCATGCCAGCTTTTGGCACCCTTGAAATATAGTGCTTAAGGTTTTTTTTTTTTTTGAGAGAGCATCTCTCATATTTATTGATCAAATGGTTGTTAACAACAATAAAATTCTGTATAGGAGGGTCAATGCTCAATGCACAGTCATTAGTCCATCTCAAGCCTAGTTCTCTTCAGTCTCCAATCTTCTGAAGTATAACGAACAAGTTCTTACATGGTGAACGAATTCTTACATAGTGAATAATGTCTTACATGGTGAACAGTACAAGGGCATTCATCACAGAAACTTTTGGTTTTGATCACGCATTATGAACTATAAACAATCAGGTCAAATATGAATATTCATTTGATTTTTGTACTTGATTTATATGTTGATCCCACATTTCTCCTATTATTATTATTATTTTTATTTTTAATAAAATGCTGAAGTGGTAGGTAGATGCAAGATAAAGGTAGAAAACATAGTTTAGTGCTGTAAGAAGGCAAATGTAGATGATCAGATGATCAGGTGTGTGCCTATGGACTAAGTATTAATCCAGGCTAGACAAGGGCAGCAAGACATCCACGGATGCAGAAGATTTCTCTCAAAGCAGGGGGGGTGAGGTTCTGAGCCTCACCTCTGTTGATCCCCAAATTCTCACCTGATGGCCCCCCTGCGACTGTGCCTGTCTTAGGTTGTTCCTCCCTTGAGGAATCTTACCCGTCTCTGGCTAACCAGTCATCTTCCGGGGCCATACAGGGAAATGTAAAGTTGGTAAGTGAGAGAGAAGCCAT